CCCTCGGGGCCGGACCCTGCGCCGGGCCTCGCCGCCCCTCCAGGCTTCGAGCCCCGGGGCCAGACGGCCGGGCTGGGCACGGCCTCTGGGCTCCCAGCCCTGGCGGGCGCGTGCCTCCCCCACACCCTTGGGGTGGGGCGCAGAGGGACTGTCCTGCTGGTGCCTCGACAGCCATCGGCTGCGCGCGACCCTCCCTCTTCCTTTGCCAGAGCGACGGATGGGCCCGGAGAGTGTCCCCAGTCGAGCCGGGAGGCCTGGCTCCCGGTCCCAGCTCTGCCCTGCGGTTCCCTGGGTCCTCTCAGGCTTCCCGCTACCCCCCACGTTTAGTCCGGAGGGAGATCTGCGCGAGGGCTGGGTTCCCTGTATGTCCTTGAGCAAGCTACTTGAACCTCCTTAAAATGTGAACACTGAGACTGTCAAGAGGCCAGCGCCGACCTGGCATGGAGTAGACACTCGACGCCTTGTAACGGTTGTTCTCGACAAGCTGATCTCAAATCTGCCCCCTGATTACCCTGTGTGTTCAGATTGGAGACTCTCGAAGCTCCATGACCCCAAAGGGCTCTGTTTTTCTCTAGCCTCACCTGCTGGCCACGCCAGACAACACCCGACCGCTGGCAGCCCCATGTCCAAAACATGCGGTTCCAAGCCACCGGGCTTTTGCGCCAGGCTGGTCCCTCCACTCGGGAGACCCTTCCCCTGACGCTGAGCCCTGATTTACCATTCTTGTCCTTGAAGACATTGTGCCAATGTGACATGCACCAGAGAGCCTTCCCTGACACCCCCACACCTCAGGTTGTGTCATGGCTTTTTCATGGCATTTGCCACATTGGTTTGAATTTATCGGCTTGGGGGTCTCTCCACCCTGTTGGACTATGACAGCCACTCTAGCACCCAGTGCAGTTCCTGGTGGCTAGTAGGTGCTCTGTAAAAAGGTGGTTAACTGGAATGGATTGTCACACAGCTCCCTGAGCCTCCTTGTTCTCATCTGTAGACAGATTTGTGCACTGCCAGCGCTGAGTGATTGTGGGAGTGCTCTTTGCAAAAGCGTGAGCCATAGGCACTACTAAGCCTCCTTGTCCAGTCATATCTGAGAGCTGTTCTGCAAACCAGAGAGGTTTGCTCTGGATTTATGGACACTGTGGAAGGAGCCCCATTTTGGTCGAGGCACTCAGGTCTGCGTGTGCCAGGACAGCACAAGTACCCTGTGAGCTGAACAACCACGGCAGGAGCCCAGTCCTCCAGAAAATAGCGCTGAACAGGAACTTGAGAGCAGCCACATCCAGACTGCCCGAGGGGCCTGGGCCTGCTAGCAGCACCCATTAGAGGGCTTGGATGGGCCATATACAACCCGCGAGTGTGTGTGTGTGTGTGTGTGTGTGTGTGTGTGTGTGTGTGGCACTTTCCTAGACAAGACCCAGGTCCAAAGTTGGTGATGTCCCAGACCACTGGGCTCAGCAGCCCCTTTCTCCTCTCATTGTCAAATCCTTCTGAAAATGACTAGCGGGGCTGGAGCCCTGCAGCCCTTGCAGAAGCGAGATGTCCACCCCAGGGAGGTC